AAAATTATTTTCCAATTTTAAAATTGATTGTCCTATATATTAATTCAAAAGATAATCGCAATAAGTCTTTAAAATATAAATAAATTAGATAAATATAAATATAGAATATAAACCAAAAAAAGAAGAACAAAAGCCTACGTTTTAGTGGCAAAAAATGTAGTGCTGTCAAGGATAAGATTAATTACTTTTTTTAAAAAAAAAAATTCCAAATTAATTTATTCAGGCAATTTTGATAACGTTTTATATAATTAGCAAAAACAAAAATAACAATATTCCCTGTTTCTCTCACTGTACAACCGTAAATTATAGCATCATTATTTGTACATGTAATTATCGGTTAGATATTTTGTGGAAATATAGTTACAAACAAATAGGCTAAATTTATTTCCAACACATATATTAAGTCAAAATTTTAGCACCATTATTGGGCTACATATATTTACATTTACATATATAACTACCCCAATAATGGTGCTAAAATTTAGGAACTACAAATTTATGTTTACATTTACATAAATTTAAAACAGGCTATAATTTGGGTTCTACAGTGAGAGAAACAGGGAATTTTGTTATTTTTGTTTTTGCTAATTATATAAAACGTTATCAAAATTGCCTGAATAATTAATTTGGAATTTAATTTTTTTTAAAATAAGTAATTAATCTTATCCTTGACAGCACTACATTTTTTGCCACTAAAACGTAGGCTTTTGTTCTTCTTTTTTTGGTTATATTCTATATTTATATTTATCTAATTTATTTATATTTTAAAAACTTATTGCGATTATCTGTTGAATTAATATATAGGACAATCAATTTTAAAATTGAAAAATAATTTTATGATAAATAAAATTTAAACTTTTGAATTTAAGATAAATAATATTTATCTATGTCTAGTAAGTGTTAAATTCTATCTTGAACAGTATAACAATTATAAGTCATTTAAAAATTTTAAGAATTCACAATATTATATAACAACATTGAATTAAGTTAAAATTTGTGATTCTAAAATATATGGTACAATTTTAAATTTTCAACTTTTTTTTTAAATTTGAATACAAGATAACTATAATTACTCATAATATACTTTAGCGGATAAAGTTCAAATCAACATCCTCTCATTCATATCCATATGTTTTCTGATACGATTTAAATTCAATTTTAAAATATCCAATACAAATTTTGACTTAATATAATATAGTGGTTGTATTAATTAAGATAATTTTTACTTTTAAATCAAGTTTATATTATATTTTTACACAAATTTAATACGGAAAAAACTTTTGAATATCTTTTGATTTTGAATAAAATATATATAGAAAATATATCAACATGTCATTTAATCTCATGATATCAAATATTTTATTTGTATGTTAGAATCAGTAAATTATTGACATAATTTTTTAATTCAAACGACATAAAAATAATAAAGTACAAACACATAAAAATTTCAACATAATATATTACAAAACTGAAAGCTTATAGCTGATACAACTATAGATATAATATTTTAATACAATAAAATGAATTGTGTACTAATAATATTAATTTAATGTGCTCAAATAAATAAGGTAATGATTTGTATTATTATATTACTAGTAAAATTACCCGCGCTTCGCGCGGAAATTTAATATCACGGAATTTATAAAATAATACTTAAAATCTATCACTCATTAAAACTAAAACACTATATTGTCCTACATACAAAATTACGTAGTACAAACATTAATAAAGTAAAGAAAAATGAAAATTATTACATCTTATCATTTATCCTTAATAATATAAGCATAAATTAATAACTATAAAATACATATCAGGATCTGTAACATAAGCAATGGTGTTTAGTGAGTCACTCAACAGGAGCAAAGTACAGAAATATTTAATTGTGAAGAAGAAGAAGAGAAGGTTTAGAATTTTCGTTGTTTTAAAATGAGATGAAATCCCTCTATTTATAGACAACAAAGGTTAGTGTGAACAAATATTTATTGTGTCTTATCAGAAAAGCTACAACTATTTGGAAAAGCTGCAACCGTTCAAAAAGGTCACAATCTTTCATAAAAGTCACAATTTTTCATAAAAGTCGCAACTCTTCATAAAAGTCACAAATTTTTCATAAAAGTTGCAACTCTTCATAAAAGTCACAACTTTTCATAAATGTCACAATTTTTTATGTAAGGAAAAGGATAGTTTTGGAAATAAATAAATTAAAAGGGATATACTGGTTTGTAGCGGCGCCACGTAGGCGAGCCTAAGGTTTATGTATATATATATATATGATTATTATAATAAATTAAATATATTATCAACTGCATAATACATAATATATTTTATTAGTTAATTTTAATTATAAAATTATTACATTTTAAATCATCTGCGCAACGTGCGGGCACGTATACTAGTAAATAGGAATGGAAAGAGTATTTGACAAGTAAAAGTGAATAGAAAAGGTATTTTTTATGAAAAAATAACCTAAATACACATCTTGTTTTACCATAATCTCTAAAATTTCCTATCATTTAAAAAAAGAGAAAAGACATAGAGTGACACATGAACTTGTCCCAAATTTTTAAACAGACACCTTAACTATGCGGGTGTTCTATTACCCCACTAAACAATATTGAACTGATATTATTACATCATTTTTGTCCACCTTACATAGAGAGTGTGTGCACTCTCTCAAAACAGAGTGAGCAACCTAAAATAACTAATATAATTTTATTTTTACAAGTATTTTATTATAAAATATATTTTCTTATTATTTTAACTTGTTTTCCTTATTATTTTTTCTCTTTCTTTCTTCTTTCTTCTTCAAAAATTCATTGTCATCTTCATTGAAGCTTCTCACTTTCAATGTCACCATTTTTACCATAACTTCACCTTTCGTTTTTTTATTACTATTAATTTTACTCTCTTTAATTTTAAAACTTTATCTAAATATTTTCTTACATTTCGAACAATTTGACAAACCCATTAGATTTCAAAATGATTAGGAGGTATCATATAGGTTTTTTTTTATCTGATTTCAATCAAGTTCTTTCAATTTTCGGGGAATTCATTGATTCTTTTAAAATTATCATTTCTAATTTTGGAGTTATATGAAAAGGAGTAATTGACGATACTTTCAAAATTTTAAATTTACCTTCAACTTGACATGCGGAGTGGGGTGAGGGTGGGAGGTGAAGAAAAAGAAAGAAAATGGAGGGATGGATCAGCTTGAAAGTGGGGGTGGAAGATGAAATCAAAATTAAAATAAGTCAAAAATTAAGAGAGAGATAAAGAAAAAACTTAAAATGTTTTTTGTTAAATATATATTTTTAATTAAATTAACACGTTTCATGTAATGATTGGTGTGTGAAAACAATTGCTTCTTAAAATCTGGGGCTGATGGAAAAATGATATAATATTATCATTTCATAATTATTTAGTGGGTAATAGGACGGTTGCAAAGTTAAGGTGTCTTTTTAAAAATTCGGGACAACTTCAGTGGTGACTTTATGTCTTTTCTCTTTAAAAAAATTTCAAAAATCCCCTCTCGAATACATCACTCTCCTCTCGTTGTTACAACTCTGTCCTCCTCCCAGATACATCACTCTCTTCTCTGATACATCTCTCACCTATGTATCCGGATGTCTGCTAATGTATCTGGAAGCCCAGTGATGTATGCAGATGTCATATTTCCTCTCTGATACATCCCTCCCCTCACGGATAAATCTCTTACCTATATATCTAGATGCCTAGTGATGTATCTGGAAATCTAGTAATGTATCCGAAATCCATAAATTTTGAGATATTTTTGTAATTTAAAAAAAGAGTAGAGAAATAATGTAATTAACTCTTAACACTATAAGATTTATGTAAATTATACTTCTTTTTATCCTATACAACGGTTGTGTTTAAAAGTGTTTGCATTAATATGTTTTATCCAAATGGCAGAATGTTGTCGAACTCCGCAAAGAATATAAAGGTGCAATGTTCTATATTAATGCCAACTTTTCAATTCCTAGAAAATCAACCGATGGGATTCTCGATTATTTAGTTTTCCAACAAAGTAGGGCTTATAAAATATCCTCATTCTTCACCAGTCATTTACCTTACTATCAAACATATGGAGACCCCAGCAGCAGCAGCAGATCAAGAGGTGAAAAAGGAGCATATAAACCATAAGGGTAATGACCCAGAGGGAATCTGACGTGTTCATCAGAATCAGAAGAGATGCTCCCCTACAAACTTTGATCCTTGGTTACTGTGAAAAACTCAATCTCAAGCATGAACAACTTGGGTTTATTTATGATGGAAAGAGGATTCATCCCACACTCACTGCTGATGATTTGGAGATGGAAGATGAGGATTGCATTGAGGCCTTCACTGAACAAGTGGGAAGGGGTGGGGTTGATCATTCATGTATGTTGTAACTAATTTTATTTCTACTTCCTTTTTAATCTAAAACAATGAAAGATATGGCTTTTGTATCTAGTTCACCATCATCTTTTTAATACTATTACATTGCAAGGCATATGTGCAACACTTGTATATTACAAGGGATCTTACTCCTGAGTAATACCTACTAATTTTTATATCTATAAAAAGGATTGGATTGATACTAATATGAAAAACTTGCCAACAATAGCCAACCAATAATCTTTTGCACGGTTTTTGTATATCAAAGTCAAAATCACATTTCTGTATCATGAAAAATGCGTTGCTATTTTATGCCCCTGTACAACTCTGCCATTGGTCAATGTGGCAAAAATCCTCACTTCAGTACCAAAAACAGCATATACAGAATGCTCGGAGTACTAACCAAAAGAAATCAGTTGCAGCAGGCAACACCAATTGCATTCTTCACTTTTGCTCATTTCTGTCTCTGAGGTGCATGAACATTGGGTCCAAACTCTTGTTTACAGTCAAATCACCACTTATTGCTCGATGAGCTGCTAAGCCCCTACGATGGTGCTTATCGGAGAACCAAGAACCAACCCCTTTGAAAGCTACAAAAACCTGTCTCATTGTATCTTAAAGAGGGTCTTCAGTTTCATGACAAGTCTCCAATCCTCAACTGAGAGGTCTCTCTGTAAAAGGTTAAAGAAGCAGGCAGCAGTAAGCAAAACTAGATATTTGCTCAAACAAAAGAGCTTCACCCAAAACTCTACATACCCGGAAATTGGCCTTGAGTATGTCAATAGACCTCCTTGAAATTTTGCTGACAAGCTCATCTTCCATTTCAAAATGCCTACCAAACATCTTTTGTTGCTCCTCAGGGTTAGATCCAACTATCTGTAAACATGTGCAGGGAGTGAGACATCATGGGTATATATAAGCAAAGATCAAATCAATTGCTTAGAACTCCTGAAATAGGTAATTGTACAATGATGATATACAAAACATATATTGGGAATTAAAGAGAAACTACTACACACCGATCCTACATTCTACAAACAAGTAATAAAGAGAGAAGATAGATCAAAATTCTAGCAAATCCATGACAAAATTTACAAAGTCTCAACCACTTCATACCTTAATGGCCACCCTTTGGCCTTTCTTTGCAGAATCAACAGGCTTATGGTTGTTCTCAATGGATGCAATACGACCAATATCAATGAAGTCCTTTTGAGGAATACATATAGGAGATCCAATCTGTTCAAATTAAGCTCAGCACAGTGAGAACCACAATATACATGAAATTTTTGAAGTCTATGAATGATTATAGAAAAGAGAATTGACGAGTGCTACTATTTTTTCAACAGTAAAATCACAAACTGTAGGGTGCTACTATTGCCAGCATAAACATTGATAGTGGAAAGCATAATCAAGGTAAACCCTTCAACTTAAATCATGGCAACAAACAATATACTGAACTACGTGTGGAGAAAAGTAAAACGAGAGAGAAGTACATAATGTTACACACACCAAAAAAATTATGCAGGAATATCTAACTACAATTAACTAAAGAGACATGAGAGCACGCAAACAAGACTTGAACTCGATGTGGTAAATGCTCATCGAGCAAAAGGTCTAAAGGAAGCATGACAGAATTAATAATGGACGAAAAATAGAAATAGGATAAGTACAATGAAATCTGCATCTGAACTTAAACATGTTTCCCTAAGGTCCAAATCTTGAAAATAAAACAAAATAAAAACCTTACCTTGGAGATGCAAATCATGGTGTAAATGAAGAATGCTGAAAACCTTTTGAAAGCAGAGAAAACTCAATGATAATAATAACCAGTAGAAAAGCTAGATTCTAATCATAAATGCAAAAACTCTGATGGAACCTTGTTAGATAATCAAGATACCCAATTATAAGAAAGAATTATAGAGAGAACAGTTACGTGCTAACACTGATTCTTCGAATATCACTACAGCATAGTTTCACCAAACAAATAGGAAACAGTCTACAGAGATACTGATCCATGTACTAGCTGACATGATATGTTGCAGTGTGGGATCCTTCCCCACCACTTAACTAGGCCTTCCTCTAGGGGCAAAATTCAAGTCTACTTGAATATGGAGTGTAGTAGTACAAACGATTGAGAAAAGGCCGGCTACTTGGCAAAGGCAATATCTTTCTATGGGTGGTAGACTTGCTCTTATCAATATTGTCATGGACAGTATTCCCACTTACTTCATGCCATTATTTCCTATGCCTGGTAAGGTATTGAAGTAGCTAAGACAAAATCAGAAGAAATTATCTTTGGGAGGATAACAATGAAGGACACAAGTTTCACCTTGTTAAATGGTCTTAAGTCATTAGACCAAAGCCACGGGGGGGTTGGGTATCAGGGAGCACAACAAAAGTTTGTTGTTTACATGGCTTTGGAGATATGGAATGGAGGACAATAGCCTATGGAAGGAAGTGGTTGCCGCCAAACATGGTAAGTTGAGTCACTCACTAAGGAAAGCAGAACTCCATATGGAGTTGGGTCATGGAAACATGTAAGTAGGCTATGGGAGGAATTTCATAAAGAAGTCTCATTCAACGTTGGAAATTCCCTGAATGTAAAATTCTGGAAGGTTATAGAGAACTCCAATTTTAGAGAAACCTATCCATCACTCTTCCTGATAGCATGAGATCGTGACTCTACAGTTGCACAGAATAGAGAAGGCAATCAGTGGAGTCCCCTCTTCAGAAGAAACATGAATGACTGGGAACTTGAGAGCCTTTTTGACTTGATGTGTAATCTGGAAGGCTTCAACATGAAGACTCGGGCTGCTGAAGCATTAAGCTGCGGTCCTAATGCAAAGGAATACACAGTACAACTGGGATAAAAATTGCTAGATGCTCAGAATGGAATTTTAGACTTCTAGCCATAGAAACTAATTTGGGGAACAGAACTCCCACCAAAAGTGATATGCTTTAGCTGGTTGGCTCTAAAAATGCATGTATGACACAGGACAACATCTGCAGGAGATGTTTCCAGTTAGTTAACAGATACTACTTATGTCAGGTAGCTGCAGACATGTGGCATCTGTTTCTAGCTCTTTTCAGCCTCAAATGGATGCTGTTGAGAGCTGGAGCCTTTAGAAGGCTGAAACAACAAAATGTTTTGATGTAGTTGTCAACTCTAAACCACTTGCTAAAGTTGTTTTTCCAGATTTTGTGAGCTCCCTTACATTAGACTGGCCCATACATGGTTGTTCCCTTTATGGTGTTTGGCTAGCTCCCCGAACCTTTCATAGCATCTTGTATAGGAGCTAGCACATCTAATTTTGTATCCATGGCATCTTCTTGATGCCAATCAATGAACAACTTACTTTATCAACCAAAAAAAAAAATTATTGTCCATAAGTTTGTTTATGTCAGACTAGCTGTCTCAAACAAGGTTATACATAGAGAAGTTATACATTTAACGAGAAATCAATGTGAGAAATCAAGACCCCTTTCCCCAACCTAATGGAAGCATGAAATTAGAGAAAATCTGATAATATCAGCACAACCCATTAAATATTGATTATCTATTCTTATTTGTATTGCTGATGTGCACAAAAGCTAGTTTTCCCGAATGAAATGCAGAGATTCCATTATCTTTAATTTTTCCTTTTTTATAATTAAGTTGGTGAATGAGATCAATGAATATGAGACAGCAGACAAGAAAAGTTAATACCCTGACAATGCCCTGCCCTTAAGAACATCAACTCCCAGAACAATTGGATCCTTCTTCTTGAAGACACAATTTGGTACGATCTTGAGCACACAGGGGAGGACTGCTTCTTAAGCAACTTCCTTCTTTTTTTCTTCCTTGATAGTGTCAATGTAAGCTTTAAACTGATCAAATAAGTGATATATAATATCAGCCATAAAAACCTTGACACCAAGTTCATCTGAAAGTTCCCGAGCTTCCTGTGTCACTTTAACATCAAAGGCCAAGATGGTTGCATACTCTTTCTTCTTCTCAAGCATAACACTAGCTTTCATGACATCCTTTTTATGCACAGGACCTATGCCAATCCCACTGACAGGTATGCTTACTTCTGGGGTCTTCAAAAATTCCAGCAAAGCTTCCAATGATCCAAGTGTAGATGCTTGAACATATACTCCCTCTCCACTTTTGTCGATCCTGCTCATCACTGACTTCATATCTTCCATAGCTGCTTCTTTGATGTCTTCCACATCATCATCAGGCCCCACAACATATAGACTAGTGCCAGCAATTGCATGCTCAAATCCCTGAACAAGAATAGAAAGAACAAAGGAGGGGAAAGGAGAAATCTCTCAGTCTCACTTATTCATGGAAAACCACCACTAAATATATAGCCATATAGTAAATAGTGAAAGCATCACACATCAGTAGAAGAAAATATCAATACACCCATGCAAGGGACTGAAAGGTTATGGCTCGCAAGTTGAACTTCCAAGTCAAATTTCACTGAAGTAACAAACTACACAAGAACAACCATTGGATTTCTTACAACTATTCCAAGTCAAAATAGGATGGTATTTGTACAGCTATTCCAAAAGAATTTTTTTCAAAGGTATCACAAAATATCCGACTTAGGAAATCAGAAATTCTGAACAGCATTGATATGCTCAGGGACATCATGAACAGAACAAAAAGAAAAGAAGAGACTATATGTGCCAAATTAGAATAACCTTCCAATGCTCTTGCACAAATTTCACCATATTTTTTTTTAACATGAGACATCAAGTGCATTGGTTGGTTTCCTGACAAGAAAAAATAGAAAAAGGAAAGAGGTATACGTGCAAAGAGATAGCTCCTCCACTTAATATTTTTCGTGCAATTACGAAGCTTCCTCCAAATCTTTACGAAAAGTTATTCGACTTCCAACAGTAATCAGGACTCAAAAGTTATATCCAGTAGATGACACCCTACTCTACTTGATTGATCCTAGAAAACTAAAGCTAATTTTCTTTTTAATTAAAAGGAAATTAGGAACCCAAACATAGCATCATCTGATTTTAACAACAAACTAATCTAAGATTCAAAATACATACATTTTCTAACAACAGATCAGTCAAAATAAAATCCACTTCTGAGTCTCTGCATTAAGTTTCCTACCCAATAGACTTCCTAAGCTGATTCTAAGACTGACCAAAAATGAGCTCACAGATTTACAAGTAGTTGATAATACCTGGGCGGTTATCTTTATACCCTGGGCAGCCTTGATTTTCTTATGATGCAAATATGTTCCCTGAAAGAATTTTGCCCAAACAAAAGAAGGCACTTTCATCAGTACGCCATTAGATAAATCATATATCAGATAAATTCAAAGAAATAACATGATAATCACTTCATTCTTAAGATTTTTTTCATGCTCCATTGACCACAAGGTCCAAAAGTACAAAAATAATTAGGACATAACTGAACCTGCAGACTTGTGTCCCACGTTCGGAAAATTAAATAAGTAATGTGCATATCTTGATTGTGGGTAAAGCCTATTTTAACAGGGGCAATTGGAATTTGAACACAAATGTGGAAGCCTCACAGCAAATTTCTGATCTTCTGTTTCTTTTGTTCAGAGAAAATTCAAAGTGGCAAAAACCAAGTGTGTTATCAGCAATCTAGGATTAATGTAGCAGCTCAACAATTCCATATCCATGAAAGCATCCACAAGATTGAAATGATTTACATATATCTCAAAAGGCAGGGGTTCAAATAAACCAGGGTATAGGTACTGTTAAAAGAAGGGACCAAAAGAACAACTGACATCATAAACTCAACTTTCAATACATCCACATAACTCTTGAGCTAGAACCCCCACACACAAAGTAAACCTTTAATTCTTGTACGCCACATTTGGCGTTGACGAAACTAATAACTCTAGCACAGTGTGTTACCTTGACAAGCCCAGACTAGATATTACCAGCATATGATCTACGTTAGAGTTCAAACAGAGCTACTGTTGTTGTAAAGTATATTTTTAAGTGGAGTAGGTTTCTTTGATAGGACAACTGCCATTGTTTTTAGGCTTTTTGTTGGCTGTGGGTATCTGTAAATATGGCTTTTGCACTGCCCTAGTGCTTTCAATAGCATTGTTACCAATTTCATAATAATAGGACTGAATACTTGCGACATATATTCTTCAATGCTTTTAGCCCGTCCATTATTAGTTTTCCCCACTCATCAAGCACCCTCCTCTTTTTACTCCTTTTTACTTTTTATGATACATACTGGACAAATAACTCCTTATTGTTTTTATGATTATACAAGGAGTTGAACTAACAACAACTGCTACTACTCAATCTCATGCAAGTTGGGGAAATTTAGAGAGTTGAACTGAGGTAAGAGAATATTTTCTTTTTTTCTGATAAGTAGGCTAGAGATGTTTCAATGCAAAACCAGTAACCTGGAGTGCCTAAAGAAACATGTAGTTACCTTTACTCGGAGTTCCTTCATGGGGTGAGGCGTTAGTAGTGCTCGGATGGAGGTAACGATAGGTCCCTACACACAAAACAATGCAGGAAAAGAGGAAATTTATAATGTCAAGACAAATCACCACACTGGAGGATTTGAACATAGCAACAAAGTAATGGCTCACTAAAGACTAAAGTAATGGACATAAAAAGGAGACTTCCATGCCTGCATGCCACAAACGACGATTTGATCTCCTTCATGAAGGACACCATTAACCAAAACCACGTCAATAGTCGTTCCATGCCCTTCAATAACCTTTACCTCCAACACGGTACACTGCCAAAGAGTAACAACAGTTAATCATCCCATATTGAGAACCTCTATTTAACTGATAAGGATATCATGTGAATATCATACCTGAACTTCATTGCTATAAGTCAGTCTCTCAATCATTGTCTTTTGTGTCCATTGAACAAGTAACAACAGCATGTCAGGAATACCTTCTCCACTGTTAAAGATCCACGGAATGAACATGTTTAGTAAAAATCAACAGTCTCACGAAGTACTAGATGGACGCCCAAGGATAAAAGAGAGGAATAAC